TCAGCCTCCTGGCTTTGTACTTACAGCACTGCTGCTCTGGCCCCAGACCTTAGGCCACGGTCTGTTCCTTCCAGACAGCCTTGACACCATGCCAACATGCACAATCGGTTTCATAAACCCGCAGCTCCCTGCTGCACTGGACTCCACTCTGACTTCTGGGTGGAGTCCTCCGGTCTCCCAGGTGGAGCCCTGAACATTCGCCAGCAGCCTTTTTTATAAGGGTTGTACACAGGTGCTCATTCAGTGCCGGTCACCACTAATGTCCGGACCCAGGAAAGGAGATTTCATCCCTCCCAGCACTCTTTAAAATCTCCCAGTTCCAGGAACCCATGCCAAATCTGGAAAACCTGGAAATAACTACAAAGCCAGCTCTTTCCTGGTTAAGTTTGTGCTTTCTGGAACTGCTCAGCCCCTCTGGCTGAGAGTCCTGGGTGACTATTTTGCCAAATGACACCGTGGCATTTCCACGCACTGCCATATGTCATTTGGCAAAATAGTCACCCAGGATCTCTAAAATACAGTATATATGTGTAGCGCTCTACCCTAAAGGAGCCGCTGGAATAACTGGATCATCACTAGTTGTCTAGGAGTTGTGGTCTTCAGCGGCCCCATTAGCATTTCATCACCCTCTTCTAGTGCCCACAAAGCCGATATCCAAGCCAGAAGTATAATTCTGAAGAACTTTTATTAACATCTTCATACTGGGGAGAGGGGATATAGGGATCCTAGACATCCATGGTAGTGCAGATATAGACTCCAAACTCACCAGACCTTTTTAGCATCTTAGTGTAGATCCATTTGTGGTACAGCAAATAGTAATTTGAGTAGCAAATGAGCAGGGATAAGCATGGATCCTCAGCAGGAGATACACCAGACTTGCTCCTGAGGTCCTCTAGGTTCCAGGCACCTCCAGTAGCAATCGTCTGCCCTGGTTCTCCTCCTCAGACAACAGCAGACCTCCTCCATCCTTGAGGCCTAGTGAAACTCTTCACACACTTTTGAAGCTGCCCACCCCCAGGGTTCAGGCCTAGCCTGAGGGGCAGGCTGGACAGCACCCCAACCCGGACTAATCCATGGCTGGTCCTGAACTTAGCACATGGCAATTCCCTCCAGTATATGTACCCTATCCCAGCATGCAACACTGGTTGAGAGAAACCCAGTGATTGGCTGCAGTACTGAACATACACTCTGGGCCCCTCATTGGCTGTCCCATTGGACAGCTTAAACCAATGGCACTTTGCTATTGGTCCAAACCATCCACAGAGCTCAAGCCTCTAACTTAGAGTAGAGGCAGTTGCAGCTCTTGCCTCACTAGGATAGGTGGGAAAGCCCGCTGTCAAAGCTGTGAAAAGCCGAATGCAGCGCCACCTGTAATTATCAGGCAGCACTCCGTCCATGACAGGTTACACAGCGGGGAGGCTTTCCCTGCAGTGTAACCTGTTACAAGCTGACAGCTTGTAACAGGTTGCCAACAAGCTTGAAGCTGACAGCGTTTTCCGCCATAATACTAGGTGAGGTTCTGCTTCACCTGCCTCCCCTGATTGCACGTCCCTGCTGGCAATCACTAACAGGATTATTCGCAAAAGGGTGAAGAGTTTGGAGAAGGAAGGAGAAGTGAAAAATCTAGGACAACATAGCTGAACTCGAAAGTGATCTGAATTGGATAATTTTTCCAAATCAGCTATTTTGTCCTAGATTGTTAACTTATCCTGCCTTCCCCAAACTCTTCACCCTTTTGTGAATAACCCTGTAAATTTATAGTAGCCACCTCACAAAAGGTGATTGGGGCTACATATATACGTGTGTGTGTGTGTGTGTGTGTGTGTGTGTGTGTGAAAGTGTGCAGCCAATGGTGGCACCACATAAATCTAAAGCAGAAATAGTCAGCACTACTTATCACTATGCATTTAAGCAGAGATGTTTGTAGCATATTTACACTGGCTTTGGGTGATGGTGAGGTACAGAATGTTGAATGCTAGTTATTTTGGCTGTGGCTGTCTCCACCATCGCCAACATATTTATGCAACTCTTTTTTGGAATACTCAGACCTAGTATTAAATTCCATTGTTGACTGGTTGGTAAGTTTGCTGAAGATGTGCACCTTGCTAGGATTGATTACTGGGATTGATTACTGAAAAGCTGGGATTTATTACTGGGATACAAAGGGGGGCTGTGCTGTGCAGGGCTTCTAGTGTGTATCTGTACCTTTCAGGAGGAATTGGTTACCTCCAGGCATACCTGCTGTTTATCTATTTATTGCTGTGTATGTCCCAGGTTGGAAACTTTGTTATGCTGGGCACACACCTTACAACCAACGCAAGACTTTTGTCTTGCGATGGTTGTAAGGTACTTTAAAAAAACGCGCGATCTGCCTATCTTGGACAGGCAGATCGTACTTGTGATGACCGCAATGCCGAACGGCCAGTGTGCGCTGGTGCACACCGGCCCACCCGACTTTTATCTTACGAACATGTTACACACCCGCCTAACATGGTACGATGCTCGCAGGTTTTCAAACATGTTTGGGTGCCCACACACCTTACGATAATCGTACGATAATCGCGGGAAATCCCGCAATCATATGATTATCGTAAGGTGGGTGGAAGCCGTGCGACCTCTACTACTGTAAGGTCGCACGACTTTAAACTTAGGAATGCTGGGCACACACCTTACAACCATCGCAAGACTTTTGTCTTGCGATGGTTGTAAGGTACTTAAAAAAACATACAATCTGCCTATCTTGGACAGGCAGATCGTACTTGTGATGATCGCAAGATGTAAGTTTAAAGTCGTGCAACCTTACAGTAGTAGAGGTCGCACGGCTTCCACACACCTTACGGTAATCGTACGATCGTGGGATTTCCCGCGATTATCGTAAGGTGTGTGGGCACCCTTAGATTAGGGGCCACACTATACAGAGGGACCTTGGCAGGGCAGTGTCGCTTCCACATAGAGTTGCTGCAAATATACTGTTTACTACTAACACCTCTGCTTTTTAGTTTTATATGGTGCCACCTCTGGCCATGCATGCTACTACACTGAGTTTGGGCAATAGTGCTGGACCGGACGTTGAAAGTTAGTAATAAAACTTGACAGGGTCTAACTCTTCCCCCCTCTATCTAAATTTAAAAAAAAAAGTGACTGTTTATGAGCACTTGCTTGTAACAAGACTTACATTGCAGACACATACGGTATATACACGTGTAGCTGGGCACATCTGGAAGTGTGTCAGATGCAGAAGATTGTTTGGCAGAAGTAGAAAGAAGATCAGCTGTGCAGTATGAACTGTGTTTTTTTTTTTTACAGGCAGTGTGTTATTTACTTTTTTGGGGTGGGAAGTTTACAGGGTTGCTTTAATACAAATCTAGCTGTGTTTTACCATGCTCACATGTTCATTATCACCAAACCACAGTGTTTTGGGGGTTTTTCAGTTCGTGGGGAAAGTTGGGGCTGCACAACTCGATTAGGGCTTATCAGCCTTGTCTGTTGTTAGGGCGGGGAGGGATATCTGTCATTATAGGGACTTGGGATGTAGCCATTGATCTAGGTGGGAAATGTAGCATGTAGCTTAAACAGTGGAGTTTGGCTAATTATTAGTTCCAAAGGGATGTGCATGGGACATGTGCGTTAGCTCAGGAAGAAGTGTGAGTGGGTGTCACTGTGTGCCCCTGGTTGTACGTCCTATAGAGCTAAGCTAGTATAGTTTGTAGGCAGTTGCCAGTGACAGTGCAGCCTAGCTGGCTGCAGGATAAAGTGGGTTAATAAGAGTATATAACTACTTTTAGCCGATGTTGATATGTTTATGTGTAAATATGTTCAGAACTGTTTATCCTCTATAATTGTCTCCAGCACCATTTTGGAGAAGCCTGGTGTCCTGATAGGACAGGAATTCTCGGGAGATTTGGTCGGCCATTTTGGGGTGGTTATCTTATATAGGAAGCCAAACCACGTTTTTGGGCAGAGGACGTGTGAAAGTAGATAGGGACAGGTACCCCGCTTGTGAGGGAGAGTTAGGAGAGTTCAGGGAAAGTGTTCTGGCCTGTGAGGGATAGTTCAGGGCTCCTACGGAGTCCTGTATAAGCAATCCTGGTCGGATGAAAGACTCCCAGTTGCTTAGAGCCAAACCGGTGGATAGGGTAGGGAATGATTAAAAACCCTGCAATGTTATATTTTGCCCTTTGGTTTCCCATTTATGAGATATCCTGTACACAGACACAGATGTTACGGAGGCACTGTGGCCTCCTTTCTTAAGGTGGCCTCACCTGCAGTGTGCAGGGTTCGTGTCTCCTGAAGTAGCTGTAGGTTATATGAAGGAGTCAGTTCTGATTGCTGGGTCGGGGTTGGGATTTCTGAAACAAGTACATCATCCTGACTGTAGCACATCCAAACACTACATGACTGCTTTGAACTGGGTGATTCTTAAATGTATTTATTTATTGACATAGTCACTGAATTAAACAAAAACAAAAACAAATTGAATGAATAAAAAACTGAATAATTCCAATATTTTTTGTTGAATAAGATGAAACATAGGGCAATTGCATGATATGGAGCTTGCACTGTAATGATTATACTTAAAGATACATTGTTACCTTGCCATGCAGGGCAAAGTGACAGTGTATGTGTAAAGGGCATCCCCCCAAACCTCTGATAACTCACCTTGCCAGCACTCCTTCGCTGCTTGTTCCTCTGCTGCAGCTAGCAACAATACCCAGTGCTTCCATTTATGGGGAGCATTTTACCTCCTCCCCTGTGAGAGTTTGTGGGTCTAGAAGTCAATTGTGAAGACTGATTGCTGAGGGAATGTTGTCATTGCTTCTGTTATCACCCCAACCCTAACTGATAGTAGGATTTTAGTACCTGCTGTAAGGGAAGGAAATGTAGCAGGGTTACACTGGCAAAGTGAGTATCAGGGGTTCGGGGTGACTTTTACATAGATTAATTGTTTTCATTGGTGGCAGCGCTAAGGCACGTTATCATTTTCTTTGCATGTTCTCCACCACTATGTGTTTCATGGAGTTCTCTTTTAAACGTGAAGCCTTTCGTTCCTCACAATAGCTTCATATGTAGAGGGGCAGTATTTTTTATAGAGGTGTTCCACTAATGTATTACTTCCAGGAACCATAGTTAGACCATTCTTGTTTTTATAGTTCCATAAATGCAGGCCATACGAGTCTGTAAAAGTTGGTAGATAGTTCGAGACTTCAAAATATTTTTGCCATGATGTATACAAAATTGGGTAGAAACGATGAGGATGAAAGTAGGACATATTTGCACAGATGGTATCCACCAAAAATGTAAACACTATCTCTCCACACAACTTTTTTATAACACGAGTGAACACTCCTGGTCCATTATGTCCCCATTTCCATCCTTTGTATTCCACTACAAAGTTTTCCATAAACTCCCAGCTCACACTATGAAATGGGGGCAACCCAAAAACACCACCGCTGGTAACCCTGGGGGATTCAGCCGCTACAAAATGATCCTTAGGTATTGGGCATATGGAGATGACATCAGTATCCATATAAATTCCTCCATGTTTCCAGATCATGGCAAACCTGCAGGCATCTGAAATAACATGAGTCCAGTACTTTTCTTTTTGGGGGTTTACCTGGAAATAGATCAGAGACATTGAAAAGTAGTGAACAGTTTTGAATAATAAAAGTTCATTCACCTCTGTAAGAAGCAATGATAAAACAATAGAAACAACTTTATGAAGCATGTGTGGTTCTTTTTTGTCTGTATAGAAGACCAGTTTCAATAAGATCTATTATAATTTTAGGCCTTGCCCACACAGGCCTCAGCTTGTACATACCTCCCTTTAGCCCCTCATTTGGAACCAAATCTCTTTGTCCGTCTTTCCTCCTAAGTTTTCCATTTTTTTGGTCTCATGTACAGATATCTATGTGTCTGTAGAGCTGATCTGTGGTTTACAGGTTTGCATTTGTTTTTAACTTTTTGCTGCTGTGAGTCTGCTGGCATCTGTGGTTCTACAAGCATGTGCTCTTCACTTATTGTACAGAGTTAGCAGCTATAGGTGTGAGCAACACACTCTTTCCGAGCTCCCATTTGTGTGTTTGTTCCTAACCTGGATTTCCATGGACTGATCTCTTGTGTACTGACTCAGCTTAGTTCTTCTGATTATGTTTGTCTGCTGCCTGCCCTGAACTTTGGCCCGGAATCCAGATCTACTTTTGCCCTGTCACCCTCGTTTTTGCCAGCTCTGCCTGGAACGCAGCTTCCTTCTCTGTCCCCTGTGTACGGATACTCTCCACACGCAAGCAGGGTGAACCCATGGGCATGACCTGCAGAAAACATGCAACATTTAAACTTCATTGAGGGGGTCCCTGGCGGAAAAACAACAGCTAGGCCTTAGACCCTGCACCCTGGGGGACCCCATGCCACCTGCTTGCTTGTGGGCTCACATCCCTAGAATTGTGACATGAACATTTTCTATTTAACTAGCCAAAATGTTATTCTGCATTAAAACCTTCATCTTATCTCCTAGTTATCTTGTTTGATATTCCAAATAGCCAGTATAAAGGAAAAGTAACGGTGAAAAAAAAAAAATTCTGGGTTTAACCAATCACTTTTGGCATATACATTTGTAATGTTCCCCATAACCAGGGACAAGTCCTTTGCCTACAATACATTGTGCTGGAAGGCCTCCATCTTTCTCATCTAAAAAGTTGGGAGGTATGGCTTGTATAAGAGCAGTGTGTACAGTAAGCATTTGTTAAGCTTTTGGCTAACTTCAATCCGCTTAATTGAATCCTTTTAAGGAAATGTTCAGTTCCAGCAAGGGGAAGTTAAACATAGATCTTAATGGCTTGCTGTTAGAGTGATTGTTCTGGGACGGACTAAATATTTCCAGTGCAGCTGCTCCCTTTCCTGACATACAATTACAGGAAAATCTAAAAGGCCATAATACTGTACACTCTAGAATTGGCATTTTGAGCTACAGCTATCAGTAGGGACAGCCAATGATGTTACCTAAACTTGGTAGCTCACATTTCTTTCTCTAAGCACATAATAGTATGCTTAGAGAAACAAATGTTCTGGTTGCCCAAAACAACTAGTCAGAATGCTTGTTTCAATTCCACACTTGAACTGCACAAATGATAGTTGTAAGCTGATTGGCTGATTTAAGCATCAATACATTCTTTTTATTAGCTCTATTTTTTATACATCAGCGCCATAGCAAGCCATTTGTCATGATTTTAGCAAAAACACGACACCAACGTTGCTGAAAAGAGAGACGTGTCAGAATATTTGAACTACCATATTTACATTTTTCTCAAACGGTGATAAAAAATTTTTTTTTTTAAAGAAAAATTATTTTAAAAGGTACAGTATATAAGGAAAAACAAATGACTAAGTGATTCTAATCCATGGCATGAAAATTAAAGTACTGTATACTGTACGTTACATCTCTTATCTTACAATATACTTTCTGTGAATGCAACAATCGTCCAGTCTCTTAAACTTGCTAACAACCATGTATATATAAAAGACACAAATAAATGTAATTATATGGCCCAAATGTTCCACTGCAGACTCCATGCCTGTATACACCCAGGTGGAGGTCCTGGATCCTCAAGTAGTCCGTCCTCTGCTTAAAGGAGAACTATGGGGTCAGGGCTTTTCCCCATAGTTCTCCTTAGGGTAACGGGAGGACACAAACTAGCGTCCTCCCGTTACCCTAAGCTCAGTATACCGCGAGCTACAGCTCGCGGTATACTGAGACGCCGCGGCCGGAGCAGATCCCAACATCGATGTTGAGATCCGCCCAGCTGCGTGAGTGAGGAGCAGACCGGGACCTGGTGGTGCACTGGTGTCACCCCCATGCAGGTGTCACACAGGTGCAGACCACATGTCCCCCCCCCCCTTACCACCACCACCAGTGATGCTGCTGCAAGTAATATACAGTATCTCCATCATTTGTATTGCATCTTTGTATTTAGTGGTCTACCTACAGTTCAGCTTTACTTTAAATCCAACCAGGATGCTGAGGTCTCATGTTCATTCTTAGTTACACTTTATACACTATTCTTTCTGTACTGCTTGACATAGAATGCCTTCTCCAACCCAGACAACTATTTCCCCCTATGTATACACACCTTTTTATACCAAGTCATAAGTGGTGTATACATGAACAGCTCCTCCATTCTCAATGGAAAGAAGTAGATATTATCAAAAGATGAAAGAGTTGGAAAGTGTTTGCGAACTCTGTGCTCATCCTCCTCGGTGATGATATCCTCCAGTCCTTTCATGAAGAAGACAACTGGTCTGTCCGGGTAGACTCGAGCTGCTGACTCAATAGAACACAAGACCAGGGATGGTGGTTCCATTCTGTCCGTGGTCTCCATAAATAAAATTCCATTTCCTTTGTTGAGAATGGTGTATTGTGTTATAGGCTTATAGGTTACATTTGTAGAACCATGAAAGTGTCTGTCATTGGAGACGGATGACCAAACATCTAGCATACGTTTGTTTGTGACCTGCTGATTTTTCTGAATAAAACACACGATTGCAAGAAGAACTATAGCTGTTATCAGTACCACCTTGAAGAAGTTCCTTGGCTTAATCCACATGGTTACAGAGTCCCATGTCCAATCTACAAAAACAGAAATTTACAAAGGAAAGAATGAATGGTGGTTGTAATGTACAGTACTGACTTGATTCCTATGGCATATTAATGAAATACCAAACATGCAAAGCTAAATACCAGGCAAACAGCTATACACACAGATGGAATGCAAATACAGGATTTTGTAACACTTTAAAGCCAGTTCTGTGATTCTGCCACCCCTGCCAGACATGATAGCCAGGTCTAGGACCTCCACTGCAGCTGCAGCATCCACAGACACCCTACAAGATTCTATGGAGAACTTAAATGGAATGATGACATTATTGCCCCCAGACAGTAGCACTACTGTTATCACCTCCTACTGATGTTGGGGAGCAGACTCTGCAAGATCACATATGGATACAATAAAATATGGATAAGCAACAGATAACATAGACTTGCAAGTGTGCATGCATGCACTATTTTTTATTTGCTTTAAAAAAAAAATACTGTAATGCATGTGCGATGCAAGATGGCAGACTGATCCAGTAGCTAGGCATCTTTACTAGATTATAACCTTATTTCTGAGGTCAGAGATCCTATTGATATTCAAAGCGGAACTTCACCCCTACCTTAAAAATAACAACAATGGCACCTCAAGAAATGTTTAGTAATGGCAATCTGCAAACAGATACTTACAGATAGTGGCAGTTTTTCAAATGATTTTGCATATCTTTTTGTTCTTTAACTCCCCATTCTTCTCACAGGGGGCATTTTCACTAAGGGCAGATGAATCCATGCCTGGAACTTTGGGTCTGCCTCCTGGAACATGTGACCATATACACCATCTCAGGGGGAAAAGCAATGCCATCCCCCCAAGATCTCACAAGATTTTGTAGTTTGCAGATGAGATTTCCCAGGAAGGCACTGTGATGTAGCCTTCCCAGTATGCAACTTTAAAGGCAGGGCTACATCAGCAGTGCCTCAATGAACCAGGAAATGGAAAAACTGTAATTGTAAGTAAAAGCAAAAACAAATTGTTTTCATTTTTTTCAGCTAATGAATATAAGATGATTTCATATCAGCATGCAGAGCTGCATGGTGACGTGAATTTTAGTGAGAGAGTGGAACGGTCCCCTTTAACTTACCCCCCCAAAAAATCCTAGGCTTGCCTAAAAGCAAGACTAAATGGAGTGGCTCCTAACAAAGATTCTGCATAACTTACTTAAATACTTACTCAGAGCAAAGAAGCGTTCAACAATGTATGGCGTCTTGGACCTCTTCAACTCCCCGATCTTGCAGGCTCACATTCGGTCTCCTGCAGGCCCGGCGCTACCGCAAGGCAAGGCAAGCGGCTGTCTGAGGGTGCTATACTTGTCAAAATGCCCCGATTCATAGCGTCGATGCTTGCGCTATGTTTTTTTTTTCACTTACCTTCGGTGCGGGAGAGCAGTGACGAGTCAGCGCTGGTCCGGTGAGAGGAGCTCCAGGTGGGGTCCTAATTTAGCTGGCCGGCGACTGCCCAGAGGACCCCGACATGCGCGGCACCTCTGGGCAGTCGCCGGTCAGCTAAATTAGGACACCACCTGGAGCTCCTCCCACCGGACCAGCGCTGACTCGCCGCTGCTCTCCAGCACAGCGCCAACTACGACCTCACCAGCGAGGCACATCGTGAGTCATCGAGCAGTAAGTGAGGGCAAGGGTGGTCTCTATTAAGAACATTTGATTATTAGCAGGTGATAATAGTACATCTATTGTCTGCAGTGTGTACTCTATATGTACTACATATAGAGTACACACTGCAGACAATAGCGTTACAATTCTCCTCTGCTAATATGAATGGGTTAAATGATCTATAGTACATAACATGTACTTGTACTACAGATCATTTAACCCATTAATATTAGCAGGGGATCATTGTGAATCTATTGCCGGCAGTGTATTGGGAATGTGTACTGTATATATGTACTAAATATAGAGTACACACTGCAGACAATAGATTTACAATTATCCCCTGCTAATATGAATGGATTAAATGATCCATAGTACATAATAGTACATAACATGTAGTTGTACTATGGATCATTTAAGCTATTCATGTTAGCAGGGGAGAATTGTAATTCTATTGCTGCAGACTGCAGTGTACTGGACGTGTGTGCTGTATATGTACTATGGATCATGATTTAACCTATTCATGTTAGCAGGGGATAATTGTAACTCTATTACTGCAGTGTACTGGACGTATGTGCTGTATATGTATTATGGATCATGATTTAACCTATTCATGTTAGCAGGGCAGAATTGTGAGCGCCTCCCACAAGCTGAGCACCGAGATGCGATGCAGCGATCCTGCCCAGCGCCGACTACAAGAGGCACCGCGTGAGGCAACAGGGATCGGAGTGAAACTGTGAGTGAGGGAAGCTGGGACGGGGCTGGCTGTAAATCTATTGCTATAGTGTACTGGACGTGTGTAATGTATATGTAGTACATATATACAGCAAACACCTCCACCACACTACAGCAATAGAGTTACAATGTATCCCCTGCTAACATGAATAGTTAGTGTTAGTGAATATGGAGTGCAGTTAGTGAATTGGGAGTGCAGTTAGTGTTAGTGAAAAGGGAGTGCGGTTAGTGTTAGTATATGGTCCTGCTCAACATATTTTGCAGTTCTCCGTACTGTAACAGGCATGGGGGGGGGGGGCGCATAAATGCACTTTCGCCTGTGTAGGCAAAAATCCTTGCACTGGCCCTGGTCTCCTGCAATCACACATAAAACAGCAATTCAAAAAACAAAACATGGAAAGCAGTCTATAGGTCATGTATAAGAAACTAGCGGTGAAGTTTTAAAGTGAACTTCACAAAACTACCAGGACACTCGCCCAGTAATTAACCTCTCTGGGTAGCCACACTGATAGACTTGAAACAAAACATGGTGAACTTGGAGAAGCATACAATGACCCCCACAGAGAACATGAGTGTCACAATTACCTGGTTCCGTGCCGTGTTTATTCCTCTGCCCTCAGTGCTCAGCTTCCAGCAGTCTATTGCAGATTGCAGGCCTGCAGCCACTCTTCTCGCCACCTCTCCTTTATAGAGTTAGTGCACCCTATAGCTCAGGGTTTGAGTAACACAGCTTTTTACTAGCTGCTAGACCCCCTTTGTTGCTAGTGATCTCTCTTCGTGTTTCCTGAGATCTCCTGTGCTTCCAATATACCCCTGTAAATTTCCCTGAATGACTGTGTTCCTTGCTCTGTTTTCAATGTTCCTGCTATCCTTTGAGTTCCCAGTGTGTTCCTGTGGATATTGCATAAGACCCACCAATGCATTCACCTCTGTGCTGTGAGTTTGTCTGTACTGCCGGCTGCTTTAGACTTCCCGCGCTCCAGCTCTTGTGTGTCTGCTATTCCTCATCTACCTGCTTTCTCCATGCCTCGACCTGTCTTCCCCCTGTGTTCCTGTACCACTGTGCAACCTCTTCCTTTGTGATCCTGTATCTTCATTTCTATCCTGCATCATGTTGCAACGCACATTCTGTCACTGAACCCAGTTTCCCAGCGCTGCAACTCGCCAGTTTATCCTGTACCATTGCACAGTTATCACGTACCCTGAGTGGTACCAGTCTCCTTCCCTGTGTGCCTCTGAACCCAGAATCCCAGCACAGCAACTCTCTATTATATCCTGTGCCAATGCACAAATATCTTGTAGCCTCAGTGGTACCAGTCTCTTTCCTTGTGTGCCTCTGAACCCAGAATCCCAGCACCGCAACACTTTAGTTTATACTGTACCAGCGCATCCTGCACCTCTGTGTTGTATTCGACTTCCCTTGTATATCACTACAACAATCCTGCACCTCCTTGTTATAGACTTCTTCCCTACCTGCCACTGAATCCAGTATCCCAGCCATGTACTGTGCCTCAGTTTCCTCTGTGGTTCTGTCAGCTGTGTCTCATGGGTGTGTTAGGCCTGGTTCACACCTGGGCATTTTGTAGCGCGTTCCTACGCTCTGCAAAACGCTCAAACACCGAAATCCCATTATTTCCTATGGGTATGGTTGACACCTGGGCGTATTACAGGCCGTATGAACGCGCTACAAAACGCCCTACGCCCAAAGAAGTACAGGAGCTTCTTTGGGGTGTATTTGCCGCACGTATCCATTGGGATACAGCCAGGTAGCCCTCGGAAACGCGCGTTTGTCGCGTGTTTTTCTTTAACGCAAATCGCGGTAAAAACGCGTGACAAACGCGCATATTCGATACGCCTAGGTGTGAACCCAGCCTAAGGGCCCCCACACACCTTCCGATTATTGTACGAGAATCGCGGGAAATCCCGCGAACGTACGATGATCGTAAGGTGTGTGGAAGCCATGCGACCTCTACTACTGTAAGGTCGCACGACTTTAAACTTATGGACATGTTCGAAAACCCGCCGAGCATCGTACGATGTTCGGCGGGTTTGTGGCATGTCCGTACGATAACAGCCGCACGGGCCGGTGTGCGCAAGCGCACACTGCCCGTTTGGCATTGCGGTCATCGGAAGCCCGCCCCTCAGGGGGCGTGGCTTGCGATCATCGCAAGTACGATCTGCCTATGCAACATAGGCAGATCGTACGTTTTTTTAAGTACCTTACAACCATCGCAAGACAGAAGTCTTGCGATGGTTGTAAGGTGTGTGCCCAGCCTTAGAGTGCTGCAACATGGGAGCTGTCCTGCAGTGAAACCCATCTATAGCGTTAGAGCTCTGGGGAAGAGCTGGCTCAATGCCTGATGCCTCTATCACACCTACGCTATACACTGAGTGGCCAGATTATTATGACCACCTGACATTTGTAGGCAAATTAGCTATAATTTTGCGCTGAAGTTGCTAGAGGGCCAGACCATTATAAATAGGGGAGCAGGTTGTTTACCACGACAGTAGAAGTGATTTG